CAGTAGACCCTACGCTCCTAAACAGTAGACCCTACGCTCCTAAACAGTAAACCCTACACTCCTAAACAGTAGACCCTACGCTCCTAAACAGTAGACTCTACGCTCCTAAACAGTAGACCCTACGCTCCTAAACAGTAGACCCTACGCTCCTAAACAGTAGGAACACCAGTAGATAATGTTGAATAGGATATAGGAGCCAGGGAATAACATCCTTGAGTACTTGTCGATGGCGTGTGTATTCTGGATAATATTGAGGGCCCTGATGCCTTTCTTCTTGGTTGTCGTCAACTCGCTGCTGGCAGACAGGTGGACCACTGTGTGTTCTCCGGGAGGCTGCTTCTCAGTCATCATGTCGCGGGGCATCTCCACGTCCTCCTCGGGCCCCATAGTTCCTGAGGTGTAGCCGGCCAGGCTATTAGTGTCCGCCTCGCTGTAGGTCCCGTCTAATAGCATGGTCCTGGTCTGGGACATGCCACAGGTGCAGGGCAGCGACTGCAGGACAGGAGAGAAGGTGAGGGAAAGACAGAGGTTGTGGGAAAATGTAACTAAACTAACTTGAGATGCAAGCCTGTAATTTGAACTTTTGATTAAATCATGAGTTAATGTCAGAGAGATTTGACCAAAAATGAATGTGTTGGCGTGTTAGATTTGGCCGTAGAAGAGGGGAGGAAGTATAATGTGTCAGAAGTGTCTATTAATCCAACCAAACTGCATGAAATGAAGAGCAAACTGTATTCTCAAGAGATACAGATTTTCTCTTCGAAAATGGTTTTAGACACACAGTCCTGTGGTAGCATCTCATTACCTGTGACCTGGCCCTCTCCCTCATCTCGTCTCTTATCTTGCGTTCCCTGCGGTCCTGTGCGGTGGACAGGTAGTTGACAGCAGCGTACTCCAGGACAGACAGGAAGACAAACACGAAGCTGACCCATAGATAGATGTCCACTGCTTTGATGTAGGACACTCTGGGCATGGAGGCGTTGACTCCAGTGATGATGGTGGACATGGTGAGCACCGTGGTGATACCTGCAGGGGACAGGAGAAGAAAACAATAAGAGTTCAAGTCTGCTCTCTTCTTTATGTGAGTCAGACCCTGGCGAAATAATCAAATTATCTTTAAATATGACCGAGATGGCTTTATTGTTCCAACCTCTGAAATACAATGTGGAAAAACTACAGAAAGCCTGACATCTGGCAATTAGGGGATTAAGCAACACTAGAAACAGAATGAACTGTAACACTTCTGAATATTGATCTTCCATAATAGCGCTAGCATCTTACCCAGGGAGACACGAGCTGGGACGGCCCTGCGGTCAATCCAGAAAGACACCCAGGACAGCATGACCATGAGGGTAGCCGGGAAGTAGGTCTGAAGCAGGAAGAAGAAGATGTGTCTCCGCAAGGTGAAGTTGATGTAGAGACGGTTGTACCAGCCTGTACAGGAGGATGAACACAATGGGTAGGTATGGATCAATAATAATATCACTGGTAGGGTTGCAAAATTCCGATAACTTTCCAAAATACCCTGGTTTTTCCTAAATATTTGGTTGGAGGATTCCAACCAAGGATTTCTGGAAAACCTTGGAATTTTGGGAAGGTTACCAGAATTTTGCTGGGTATATGTGATTCTCACATGGCTATGGTGATTATTACCAGTGCTGCTGTAGAAGGCCAGCCGAGATGTGGTGTGGAACTTCTGGATGAGGAACTGAGACAAGGAGATACGGTCATCCGTACTCAAGGACTCATCCCCACTCTTCCAGTACAGCATCAGGTCCTCATCCGTATACGCATCTGGGGGGCACAACCAATATTAGAGATAAATGTGGTGCCTGTGTGGCCAGTGTTAACACCCCCAGCAGGAAGCGCACATGTATAACCCCGATGGTCCTGAGTTCAATCCCTGCCTTAGCCTTTCTGACTTTCCCCACTGGTTGAATCAATGTTGTTTCCACGTCATTTCAATGAAATTGACGTCTGTGGGTCTCTACTCTTTGCCTGTCTCCCCATCTAATTCTTCACTATCTACATAAAGCTTAAAAACATTTAGATATTCTCAATAATACTGTTCTGTTTGTGTATACTGTAGACTAAAAAATACAAAATAGTATGCCCTGACATATTTATTTAAGGACAATGAAGAATTTCTATTAAATTCTGAAAGTTAGCCTACTCACAGCTCTCTAGCTCCAGGGAGCAGGACTGGGTGTCCAAAGGGAAGCGGCTGAAGTCCATGTTGCAGGCTGCGGTCACTGTCACCCTGTACAGTAAGGACAACACAGATCCATGATGTGACATCAACATCTTTAAGATTCCTCCATGAGCCTTACAACACATAACATTACGTTATTGTAGATATTATTGGCTCTTTCTGCCTTCTGAAATAAATAAATAGCATCAAATAACTTTGAAAATCGAATTATTTGGGAGTGCAGACTCGCTACACTGAATCACCTGTTCACAACACCAAATAAAGTTGGTCCTATCTGTTGTCCTTACTGTTCCACACACACCAATTCAAAACTTCCCCACTGACTATAACTGTATGTAGTAGACCATGTGAAAAACAGGGCCACTGTCATGAATAACAATGAGCGTGTTCTCAACCCATTAAAACACAATTCGTGCATCCATTGTCTGGTGAATGACTTTGAGCAGCATAAAAGGCCAAACTATCTGGCATTAAACAACAACTTAGTAGTACCTTCACATTTTGGCCTAGTTTTCAAAAACATATAAAAAAAAAAAAACATCACCAGCCAGAAGCACATTTCTAATTTTAACAAACAACAGGAGCAAAATGCAAATTAATCTTCTTGTCTAGGTGTCAGCCTACCTACATCCTGAACAGAACCATGTTATATTTAGTATAAAAAGTTAGGATACTATTAATATTCCAAACTGAATACATTTAAAATTCTTACGTCAACAGCTAAGTACATCATTCCAGTATTGACAATATCAGGAGTCAATCACTTTGGAGCAGTGTGTGTAGGCTTTTGTTCCAGCCCAGCACTAGCATCCGTCAATTTAGAAAGTTAATTGAAATCTGAATTGATCCCAACACTGCATGACAAAGAATGACCCGCACAACGTCACGAGTAAGGTTGCAAAATTCCGATAACTTTCCAAAAATGCCTAGGTTTTCCCAAAATCCTGCTTGGAGGTTTCTGGATTTCCTGCTACTTCTGATTCTGGGAATCTTCCAACCAGGATTTCTAGAAAACATGGGAATTTTGCAACCCCTAGTCCCCAAAGCATCCCAGCTCCACCTCAGGCTGTACAGGACGTGTCCGTCGGGAAAGACCCTGAGCATGATGTTGACTGTGGTGGTGTCATGGATGAAGGATCTCTTGGAGTGGACAAAGAACACATCGGGAACCCAGATCTTCTTGACCAGACGCCCGTCAAATGTCATGCTCTTATTGGTGGAGCTGGTGAAGGACAGGCGCTCGTCCTTCCAATAGTGTCTCAGGTACAGGGTCATGGTGAAGTCCTATTGGAGGAGAGGAGAGGAAGGGAAGGGTTTAATGTCTAACTAACGTGTGGATGACCGGAAAACGAGAAACAGTGGGTGCGCTAGTTTAACATTTCCCAATACCCCAGGTGAGTGGACCAATGGTATGGTCTAAAATGTACAAACTTTATGATGCAAAACGAACACATCCAGTGATTGTGCAAAACTATGCCCAGTGAATCATCATACTTTAGCATAGTAACTATGCTACTGAGGACATTTGGAGTTGAGTTATCCAATGAGTGAATTATAAAGCTATGACATTGAGAAAAGTACTATATTATATAAATGCAAGTCTTAAACCCAGCTGTCAGAGCTTACAGAACTTTGGGTTCAAATCCTGTTGGGGCTGAAATTAAGTATAGCCTGAAAGTCAACGGACAGAGCAGATAAGTTCAGATCAGTCTCTTTCATTTCTCTGCAACCTCTCACACCTCTGGGGTTGAGCTTCACTACAAAGAGACTGAAACCTCCTCCTCCTCCTCCTCCACTTACGCCTCCTCCTCCACTTACGCCTCCTCCCTCCTCCTCCTCCTCCTCCTCCTCCTCCTCCACTTACGCCTCCTCCTCCTCTTTCTCCTCCTCCCTCCTCCTCCTCCTCCTCCTCACTAAACCACTAAACAGATATCCTCCCTCTCTCACTCCCTCTTTCACCCCTCTCTCATTATAAAATAATAGCAATATGCATGGTCAATAACAACTACCAATATGTTACAGTCTGTTACATCACAAGGGATTTAGCTAGCCAAAAAATACTCCAACAAAACACGTCCGTTTGGATGCAGAAAGGAAATTATGACTTAAATGTTAATAATGTGGGGATTTTACTCTAACATTATTTCCACAATGCGGAGTTGAAGTCTTTGCGTCATAACTTGGGAGTACAAAAATTGGGTAGCTTCAACCTACCATGTCTACTTCTGAGATGCTGTCCAAGCTTTCCACCTGCACGTCCACTCCGACTGGGATAGCGGGGCCTGGGAAACAAAATGAAAGAAACCACAGCATTTTTATCCTCTTCCAATGTCCTCCATGTTGCTACATTTCCTCTTCTCTTCAGTTTGCTCCTCAATTCATGCACCTTGGTTTTGCAGCGAGGTAGCGTCTGTGTTCCTTTTGCTTTAAACAAACTAAAGCATGCCAGTATCAGGTGGCTCATAGATGGTGATACCTAGTTACAGCGCCTGTACCGTATTTCCTTACAGGCAATTAAGTCAACGATTCAGCTTTGAACTTGACAGCAAAATTGTTGCTCTGCAATGACTCACTCGTCAAAACCTGATTCAGTCCAGTACTAAAGACTTAAAGGGAGCGGAAACGATCGGGTTTAGCACCAATTCAGTAGTTGGGGGCAGAGGAGCAAAGAATCAAACCCAAATTACGCAACTGCACTCTGGCAACATAAAGTAGGCCAAGCACTGGAAAAACCTCTGTCTTCTCTGCCTTTCCATGTAATAACTGGACTTCCAGTATCCCTGTTACG